CGTTGAAAGTTCTTTTTACAAGTTAATGTCAAGAGGGACGGCCGAAAACACAATGGGCAAGGTCTTCGTCGATGGCAGCAACGCGTTGCAGGCAATCCGCGGGTGGTCGCACTGCAGAAGACAAGAGACAGTTTTAGAATATCCAGGCTCGCACACCCTCGGCATCGTGGCCAAGTGGCCCCGAATGGTGTATGAGAAAAAAATACAGATGTTCTAAGAATATACGAAAAGAAACGCGACCTCCAAGACACTTTCCCATGCAGTTTTTCCTTCCCAAAAAGTATTGACCATAAAAGAGTGGGGATCGACCTATTACGCCACATCGATTCTAACGAGGGAGGATCAGTTCAACAATATCAGTTGTCCTTTCTGAACGGTGCCCTTTGCATTCTACGAGCAAATAGAGTTCATGTTCGGAAAACTAAGTTTTAGTTTATTTACCGATTACGTAGTGATTATTTAGTAGTGTCGCGTACTTCGTAGTTATAAATAGTGCAAATTAATTATTGTCGATTTTATTAATTATTATAGGTTTTATTAAATATTGTAAATTTTATTAATTATTGTAGGTTTTATTAAATATTGTAGATTTTATTAATTATTGCAGGTTTTATTAAATATTGTAGGTTTTATTAATTATTGCATGTTAAAAATTAGTATAAATAGATGTTATAAATTAATTAGAGTAGGTTAAAAATTAGTGTTAAATAGTTATAAATTAATTATTTTGAGTGTTAGTTTTGTGTAACGTGTAGAATGTTAAACCCAACGGAGGAACCGCTCGCGGGTGTAATTAATCGCGCAGTGTGTGAACATTTTTCGCGGTCCGGACAATCGCGCAGTGTGTATGGACATTTTTCGCAGACGGGACAATCGCTCAGTGTGTGTGGACACTTTTTGCGGACTTCTGTGGTGTACGTGCATATGCGAATTAATTTCATGGATACTCGTGGACAGGACAATTGTGGTACGTGACAACTAGAGGGGGTATTAACCCTCCCTACTCGATGATATTCGTAAAAAGATATTTACATTTCTTGCAAATTTTATTGAATAATCAGAGTTAATGCGATACAGGTGGATGCGACTCAAATACCGCGGGCACAAGTTATCGACATCTTCTACGGGGTAAGTAAACAGCTGTTCTACCGACTTTTCCTGCACGTTGTTGAGTCTTTAAAGTGACTGTATGCCCCTGATGAGCGGTGATCCGTTGACACTCCGTGCGCGTGGATTGCTATGATTTGGGTCAATTTTTAAACGCTTATAACTAACAAACCACTTAACATCACTTAAATTTTTTCCCACTAGGACTTTTTCCCACTATCACTTCCCACTATCCATTGTAATTGTCTGAAATAGGAAAACCAAGAATATTTATTAATTTTATGTAAATACGCACCGAATGAACCTCACTGAGCAAGAAAAACGTGCGAATTACAGAAATTGCGGCATTCAGAAGAGAAGTTGACATTTTACCACAAAAAATTTGAGTTTCATTGTGCAATAAAAATCACTTAATTTGGAAATTGTATTGATTTTCGAGGTTCATTCGGTGAAGAATGTAATTTTTTATATGCTTGCACCAGGAGAACCCGATCGGACAAATAGCTTTTTAGTTATATTGTACGCAGTTTTGTAAAAAGTGGTTTCGAGAAAAACGCGTTTAAAGTTTTCTGTTATGAAAAGTAATACTTTTTCGATACTTACAGCTGTTTTGTTTTAATCAGCGATACCAGGACCATACAGGAGCCCTTCTGTTTCCATCCTCATGAAACTGCTGCTGGCTTGCCCTGGCTTCTCTTTGAGCAGTTCGAGCTTCTTTCGAGCTGCTGAAGCTTCTTCGATCCTGGCTCTTTACCCGCGCGGCGTCGTACGCGTATTGCTTACAGTGTAAGCCTATCCTTATTTCTAACACATCCATAATTTTTGAGATGGCAAAATACCCTTCATTGAAAACTTCAGCAGCAATATATAACCAAACGCCAAACAGTCGAATTGAAACTCTCATTGACATTTTGCGAGTGCCCGCCCAAATATCGTTGCAGTAGTTCATCTTTAGATAAATCTTTGTATATGGGTAGTAAATGTTTTTGAACATCTGGATGGAGTGGGGCAGGGTGGTCAAAAGCCGCTCCGGTAGTTTCACCTACGCGCCACTTACACCAGCTCTCTGCACCCGGCGGGCAATTTTCGTGCATCGGCTTTTTATTTGTCGAGCATAAATGTTTATATGTTGCCATTATTTCTCTCTTCATATTATCCACTGAATCAATATTTCTCCGATTTTGAAATATCGACGAAATCACGTCTGTATCATAAACTTGAGTTGAGCTTATGATTCCTTAATAACTGAAAACGTTTGAAAATAGTAAACAAGCGTTTACTACCGCTGAAAAGGTCTGGAAGATTCCACTACATACGTAGGTATTCCTATTACCCATTATGTTATGAATGAACGGGTGAGAGGAACCGGTCTGTTACCTCTCGAGCGCTCCCAGCTAACTGCTCGACGCACAGTCAGAAACTCGACTATAACTACAGTTAGAGGCCAAATATCGATCTGTAACTTTAGGGACACATTCTCTACATGCATTAGAGTTGATTTAAGCAAAAATAAATTGATTTTTTTTCCGTTTACACGAGACGACCCCCTTAAAACAGGTGAGGCAGTTCCGGTGACTTTTAACTTGACATACAGAGTGTTTCGTTTAACTGGAAACGGTGGAATATCTCACGAAGGATTAAAGTTATCAAAAAAATGTTCATACAAAAGTTGTTTGGTACACAGGGGGACATTACGTGGTACAAATAATTTTTCTATAAGTGTAGTAGTGGGGGAGATATCAAAGTCAAGTTAATTTTTTTAAATGGAACCCTGTTTTTTATATTCATATTATGATAGTGTTTGTTGAGACGAATACAACGAACTACCACATGATATCATTCTCTGTAGTAGGTAGTGATAAATTAGTAAGATTTTAAGATGATTTACGAAACAGAATTATAGTCGCATGCGAAAGAATAACAGACAAGATGTTGAAAAGTGTCGAAAGAGAATTTTTAAACAGAATACAGAAAGTCAATGGTCTCGGTTGCCCCAACTTACGACTCCAATTGGTTGGTCCGCGAACCGCCACACTAGGTAGGGACACAAAGGGACAAGACTAGATGAGACCGGGAAACAGCATCATAAGTAGGGCCACGTCGACAGGAGGTCCTCGGTTGGTCATAGAAAGCCGGGACTGTGAAGCCCGCAAAAGCGGGAAAATGTGATTGGGTAACGCTCAGCTCCGGGGCTCAAGGGAAGACCCCTGAGGACAATGAGGTCGCTAAGAACTTTAGCCTAGGAAGACAGATCCGACGTCATACCCTCCCCGAGGGACTCTGTCCAGAGGCAGACAATTCAACATTAAATATAGGTTAAGATTTTTTTCGAGGTGGGGTTACCCCTGCCACGCTATCACTTAAAGAAACAGACATGTTCATAATGTAATGTTTATACTGTTTGGGTAGGATTTAAATTATGGAGTTAATCATACACCTTTATATTCCGAACCTCATTTGTTAATAACTTTTTAACAAATAAAGAGCGACAGCGAATGCCTTCTGAAGATCACTGAGGAGGATGACCTTGACATATGTCAAGATCAAGGTCATCGGAGCTGCCCACCCTGTTCTAAATATTTACCGAGTTTTGTTTGATTATTGAGTATACTTGGCCAAATTTGACACGAAATGAAAACTTGACAAGTTTTTATATGAAATTTTAAAATTCAAGAACATATTTATTTTTTTGTGCGCAATATCTTTATTTATTTTAATTACATGAACAATTCTATTGTTTTCATTTCTCAAAAATGTTATTAATATTTTAGTATTATTTGATTGGAGAAGAAGAATGCGAAGAAGCTGAAGATGTAGAAGTACCAAAAGCATTAGGAGACGTTTTTGAATCATTAGCAGGTGCGATTTATTTGGATAGTGGTATGTCCTTAGACGCTGTATGGGGGGTTTATTATGCCATCATGAAGAATGAAATTGGTAATAGATATTTTGATTTCATTTAAGCTCGTATTTCGTGGTAGGAGAAAGAAAAAGAATACAAATATTTCTTATTGTTTCAGAACAATTCAGCACTAACGTTCCTAAATCCCCAATTCGTGAATTATTGGAACTGGAACCCGAAACGGCAAAGTTTGGTAAACCAGAAAAACTGGCCGATGGACGTAGAGTTAGGGTTACAGTAGATGTTTTCGGTAAGGGGTCTTTTAAAGGAATCGGTAGAAATTATAGGATTGCAAAATGTACTGCAGCCAAGTGTGCTCTCAGAAAATTAAAAAAAACGCAAAGTTATTTTCGGGAAAAGTCATAATAACATGTATATCACTATTTAGAACAGAGAATACATGAAAATAAAATAAGTATCTTTTAATACGTTTGAAATATGAACTTCTATGTAATTGTGTTGATAAATGCGTTTATAAATTTGTAATACAAACAGTTTTCATGTATTCCAAATTATCTATTTAAGTGCTCCATGAGGCGATTAGGTTTCATTCAATTTCATGTCGAATAGTGCCATTGATTCCGACTATCGCAGTTGATCGGTTCCCACTGCAGTCAAAATTGAATTATAATTTACTAATAAATGCATATACAGTGGAAAGAATCTTGCAGAGAGACACACAAAGGTAAGAGAACAATATTTCGTTGGTTTCGTATTAGAAGTTCGTTAGTCGTGTTTGGGAAGCAGTATTGTGTGACAACGAAAGTAAATGAAAATATCATGAATGAGTAAAATAGAACAACCACTCTAACAAACTTGGGTTCAGAGCGAAATAGTGAATGATTGATCAGTCCAATAAGCTCAAGTGTCCGGTTAATCTGACACTACCAAGAAATAAGAATTTTCACGTGTTTCGTTTTATATTGACGAAAGTATTACTTTCTATAATACTCTCGACTATTTTACTATTTAACTATAAACAATTTGCATGCAGTCATGATTGAATTCAGAGTCATTAAGAGAACATAATTTTAATCCTCAAAAGACGAACAACCGTGTGCAAACCAGACGCTGGGTCAGTTGTGACCGATATTGTTTTCTTGCAAAAGCTCTTGTTTTTACGTGACAATATCACTTTTCTTATTTGTATTTTCATTATTTCTTTTCAAAACGGGTAATATTGCGTAATAATTTAAGGGGATAGGGAAGTATGTTTGTAAATTATGAATAAAGAAAATTTGGTACTTATTCAGAATCTGGGCGCCACCTCTAAATAAGATATTTCACTGTATTTTATTGTATTTCCTTCTTCTTCTGTATTCAGAAGGTTTCAAGTATTCATGTTGTTATGTATGTAGGTGCAGGCAAGAATACATTGCATTGAGATACACTAAACTACGTTTATTGTAAGAACATATACCTATGTATATAATGTAGGATAGCGGGCGTTCGAATACTGATAAGGTTTGGACACAAAATGAACGGATACGAATTTAACAGATAACGAGTGTATATTTCCAACAGAACTGCTCTCTACAAGAAGGAAAGACAGTGGGGAGTGCACTCCTAAGTGGGCGTGCCTTCAATGCGTTCGGTCGATTCGTTACGTCTCGCTAAGAGGCTGTGCGTAAAGAACTCCCAAGACAAAGTTCTAATGCTTAAAAATGCTTACAATAAAATTGTGATTCGTTGTGTTGCCGACGCAGTACTGTCGATAAACGTGTAATGACGCGCAAAAATTTTGTATGAAATCTGATAGATGGTATTTACCGAGGCGCGTGTTGGAGATTTGTTTGCTATTTTTTAATTGAGCATCCTAGTTGTGAAAAATCAATAACACTAAAAAGTAGTGAAAAATATTCTTTTTTTATTGAAGTTGTAACGGCACCACATTTATCCTTTCACAGTAGCGACATACTATCATAAGTGGTGTCCTCAATTTTTTTGAGATTTTTTGATAGGTTTCGACGTTTTTCCCGTGAAAAAATTACTTGTACTTTGAAGTTTTGTATTTCCTCTACTAAATAAGTATATTATACGATGTTACATATTTTTACATTCAACAAAATCATATACAAACTAAAGAACTTAAATTAACACAACTGCATGATACTAAGCACATGTCAACAGCCACTGATGGCGCAGCAGTTCGGTTCCCGATTGCGACACCGCTGCGAACTTTTTGATCGCGGGTTCTTGATCAACCTGTATTCACTTTTTTTTATTACATTAATTACATTTTTCTTAATTTTTAGCGAAATGACAATGAACAGTATTTATTTAAAAACACTTTAAAAATAGTTTAAAAAATTTGTATTCTACAATATGTAGAAAAATAAATTTGGAACAGTTTTTATCGCATCCTTTCTCTAGCTACATATATTCTCCTTTACAGGATTGTTTGTAAGTTTTTATGTTAAATGAATATATGGGTTTTGTTTTAAAAGCCTTCTTATTTATTTCGCTGCTCTCCCTCCACGTGCCCTAGTAACGATACGATAATTTGTATTTTTCGATACTAAATACATACATGATCTTTATGTTAATAATACTTATCGTTGTGATTATTTGGTGGATTGGAATGTTACGTACAAAGACACTCTCGTGACCTCTTAACCCTACCGGGAGTTGGAATGCATTCGGCCAGATGACGTAATTGCCTACGGGGTGTTATGGCGTGGCCAGATTTTCTTGGAAAACAGTTTCCATTGAAGAACAGGCGTGTCCCCCACTACTGTGAGACTCGATTTTCGGGGTATAAAAAGGGACGTGTACACCTCATCCGTAGGCGACACAGCTCTCTCTCGATGATGGAACGTACGCAAGCACGATGATTCCACCCCTGGTACAGACTCGGTCTGTGGGTGAAGCAAAGAGTGAGCCGGTACTCACTTTGGAGACGAAGGATCGGTTGCCCCGACGACCATATTCCATAGCTACATTACTCAGGTAGGGATGGGACGATCCTAGTGACTCTCCGCCCCCCGGGCGAGTACTTCCTCGCCTCCATGTGGCCCGGGCCTAAAAAAGTTGGTCGGGTTGGAAAACCGGGGGAAACAGTCTCCCCGGGTAATGCCCACCGCAGTCCTATTCCAGGGCTGTTGAGATAGCTAACGGCGATTTGAGCCACAGCTGGGCCTTGGGGGGGAAATCGCACTTCCCCTCTCCCGGGAGATCGTGTACGAACTACTACTACTACTACACCTCATCCGTGGTTCATAATCATACTAGAAGTCTAACTAGTAAGATCGGGTATTAAAGTCCTTTTCAATCATTTTCAAAAGTAAGCTAATAGCGAATTCGGGAACCCGCACTGGTACGCACTGAGTGCCAACTTTTTCGATGCCGCACTTTCGGATGATACTCTCTGCCCCAGTGCAGTGCAAAATTCGTATTCGGCTAAACGAAATGAACTGAACGAGAACGAGTTTTATCGCACTGATATTTTCGGCAGTGCGGTTCGGTGACACTGGTGACACGAGATTTGGCGCGAAGTCGTGTGATGTGATGACGTGACGTTGGATGAAGCAAAGAGTAAGCTGGTACTTACTTCAGGAGACGAAGAATCGGTTGCCCCAACGTTCAAACTCCTGGTAGGGATGGGACGATTCTAGTGACTCTCCGCCCCCGGCACGAGTACTTCACTTCCTCCATGTGGCCCGGGCTTAAAAAAGTTGGAGCAGTTGGAAACTCGGGGGAAACAGCATCCTCGGGTAACGCCTACGGTAATCTCAATTGTGAGATTATGTGATATACACCGACGCCAAGGTCAAGTATGGGCCTTGGAGGGGAGTAGCGAAATTCCCCTCTCCCGAGAGACCACGTTCTAAACTAAACTAAACTAGGTCCACCAGTGGCGTCATTGGGGCCGAACTTAGGTAGCTGTTTGACGGTTGCTTGACGGCAAGGAGGGGGGGGGGTGGACAAAGGTCATCTGCTTCGCTGAGGCGGGAATGGCATGCAGCTACAGGTTATCGTAAAACCGAGGCCGTATAGCTGTGTGACCGATCTCGATGCGGGATCAGAGTGGGGCAACAGGTGAAATATCTACCGCTTCAGCACCCAGTTTCACCGTCTGGTCCGGCCATTTGAGAGGACAGCAGCCACTCTAGGCCGACTATGCTCAAATCTAAGGGGACCCGCGAATAGGGTACGCCGCCTTTAGATGGAGGTGGTGCGGTGGATGGATCTATACGGCTCGCCAGTTTCAGCGAACGATACCGCGGCCAGCCGATGCGGCAAAATCCAGCTGTCCCCGATGTAACAGGTGGCGGCGATCAGAGTCATCAGAGGGTACCACACGATCTCCTGCGAGGCGGTGACCACTCTGACGGGAATCATGCTATTTCATCTCCAAGCGAAAAAGTCCGGGGAGTGAGCTATGATGAGGTCCGCGCACTCCGCCATGTGTGTATGGTTTTACAGGAGAGGACGGTCTAGAAAGTATAGAGCCAGGCTCGAGTCCGCTCACTGAAGAGGTAGAAGGTTTGGCTATCCGAACCTGATATATCCTACAAGCAAGCGGTCGAGGCTATCCTGCCATGCTTAGAGGAATGGTGGGACAGAAGGTGTTCACCGGACATGGGTATTTCGGTGAGTACCTGTACCGCATACAGAAGGAAGCTACGTCGCAGTGACATCACAACCAAGAGACACAGGAAACGGCGCAGCACGCGCTGGAATCCTGTCCAGCGTGGGCAGGAAGGCGCAGTGTCTGCCATCAAGAAGTGATAAAGGGATCTGTCGCTGCTGAGTGTCGTGTTGGCGATGCTCAGCAGCGAGAGATCGTGGAATGCAAGTTATGCTGCAGAAGGAGAGGGCGGAGTGAGATCTGCGGAGAGCCGATTCTGCACGCGAGAGGTGGTAGGGAGGCAACCGCGGGAATAATCCCCGCGTCCCCCTACCGCCGTAGAGGGTATTGCCTCATTGGTCAAGGCGGTTGCCAATGGTGAGAAGGAGGGGTTCCGACCTCCCCCGAAATATTCAGGCAACCGCCCGGGCTGGGGACGGAGCGAGTAGAGGCTCGGAGGCAACAGGCGGCCTAGAAGAGGGACGGTGTCAGGGCGTGCTCCTTTAACATCGGCGAGCAACAAAGTTTTTCTGCGGGAGGAGGTGGGTGCCTTGTGCAACCCATCTCCCCGAGGAAGGAGCTGCCCTGCAGCTGTGACGAATAGGGGAGTGTCGCGATGTAATCCTCTCAGAACGTTCATGGTGCCCTCCACCCCTCCCTCTCCCCATTAGCTCGTCGAGTTGGCCACCGTTGGGATTTTAGCCGGTAGGAGTCCTGCACAACCTCGGTCTCCCCTCCAGGAAACCGAGGGATCCATTAGAAACTTCACCACGAGGGAAAAGTACCGGCCCTGCTTACCTTGTAGTAGAAGTGGTGACATACGTCGCCTAGTACTGCAACAATTTTTTCTAAAACTAACCCGTATGCGTGACTTACAAGGGTGGCCCTTCCTCTGAAAAGGTTTAGTGCCATCGAATAACAGGAAAGGATGCCGACTAGACCCTCAAGTTTGGAAATTGTCCAAGTTTTTGAAGTTTTTAAAGAATTTCTCAAAACTGGTAGGTTCTTTTGAAATTTTGTTCAAATAATATTAAAAAAGCATTCAGTTTTCTACAATGTCTGTTTTCATATTTTTTTTGTATTTCGAACCATTTTGTGGATAATAATATTTGACTATAGAGATAATTATGCACAGAGTAAGTTTTTTTTTAAACCAGGCCTAACACGCCAAAATTTATAGTTTAAACAATTTTAAATCTGATCTCGTAAAAAAGACTTTTAAGGGGATAGAGCAATCGTTTTTCGTGAAAAGAAACCTTTCTTTCATTTATTTGTAAGAAAATCAAAGCTGATCCAGATGTATCCTTTTCCCAACGTTTACTTGCTATCATAACGTTTCAAAGAAACTGGTTTGAAATGTATATGTGCTTTCAAAATGGTCGTACAGATTGGTAATGATTTCAACGTTTTTCTGTGGTTTTGCCCTAATATATGTCTTAAAATGTGACGTAATTAAATTTCACAAGGTGATTTTTGTTTGTTAGATCCGTAGTTTCCCACTAAACCTAAAGAATTAAAAAGTGGAAACAAAATTTTGAAATTGGTGGCCGAAAAACGGCGTTTTTCAAGAAAAAAGTTATGTAGAGAGCAATTATAGAAAATTTTTCTTTTAATATTATTCGATGTTATTTTAATATTATTTGAGCGAAATTCCAATAATACTTACCATATTTTTGGAATTCTTTACAAACTCCAAAACATTAATAAATTCAAAACTTTAAGGCCTGGTCGGCACCCTTTCCTATTGTCCGATTGTAATACACTTTTTCAGATATTAGTCTTTTACAAAATGGAACTATATTAGGGGGTAAAAATAAAAGAAATGGAATGCTGAAAAATAAAGACCACCCTAGCGACCCACCCAAACAATGCGATACAAAACATGTTCCTGCAAGCTACAGGGGGAGAGGCTTCGCCTAAACTGTCAATGAATAATACCCATTGTTTTAGCATTATCTCAATTAATTTTCAAATGCGTCAAAGAATCTTTCACATGTCTTCATTTGGACGTATTTGAAACAATTTTACTAAATTTCACGAAAATTGGAGGGCGGACCTTTTCGAAACTGCAACCACATTTAATTTGCTTCTTTTTACAGATAATGTAATTTTTACAATTGATAATCTTCATAATTTAAAAAGAAATTCATAATTTAAAAGTTATTTGAATTTTCCTGTTATTAACTTTTTTTATGTGTTTAACAGTGGCTTTACAACTAGCAAGACCAAAAAAGGTTTTTAAATGTGTAGGATATTTCAACAAGAGGGTCGAAGTCCATAGAGGTTTACAGTAGTTACCAAGATCAGAAAAATGCTTAAGTAACACATGTTCCAAAATTAATCCTTTTCGTGTAGAATGTACTTATATGATTATGAATATTTGATAATGAAAGAATTTTTTTGTATCACGTTAAATATAAACTCAAAAAACAGTTTAGAAATACATTAGTTCAAGATTGCATAACAGCAGATTATCACAGATATCAATAAAAAATTACTTATCAAACGCAGACCATGCACATGTCTTCACTATTTTCTGCGGCTTGGTTAATGCTATCCATACTAAGTATCTATAAATCATGTCATGATCAATGTCAACCTATTATTCTAATGTAGAAATTGTAAACATGAAAGTGAACTTCTGTTTTCGAATATGAAAAGAAAACTTTTTTATTTTCAATGAAAGAATTAATTTTTAGATCTGTATTAATTAAGAATATTTTACTCTACTCTGTGAGTCCTATAAGCTCCTAAAGTCTGACAGTAAATTATCTATCCATCCCATATGTATATTCTACATATTTAATCTCTATCAGAAATAGAAATACCATTTATAATTTGTATTGATATAGACTTTGATTAATATACTTTTAATTAGGGTACGTTTTCTTTAGAAACGTATGGCTATCAGTAGATGCAGCAAAAGAACACATACAAAAATATCCACCAAATATCAATATTTGTTTCATACAATTTATTTAGTACTATGTTGGATATTCTTGTAATGTTAGTACTTCTTTTTTTATTTGTTACATTTAGATTGAATAAGTTTATTTTATGACATTTGATGACTATGTTCTTTTGCCACAGAAATAACAATCTTTTTATCTAATTTTTTTCTTATTCAAGTTATTTCATCATTTGTGCTTGACTATACCTTCTAACAACTTTTTATTTACCTTTTTCTTTACCCTTAGAATCTCTCGATTAGTCAAGTCGATTATTTGCGTTTCTTGCAGATCAAAATGCATCAGGTTGTTTTTATTCGCTTTTATACTATTTGCGGTTATGTATCCATTGAGATTTAAAAAGATGCTCAAATAACAGATTATTTAAATATACATTTGAGGTTATGATCCAATTCTAAAAAAAACTGAGTTTATGCTCACTGTGTGTTTTAAATTTTATTAAAGATTATGGAATTATGTAGAAATGCTCATTAGCCATAAATAAAGTTTGTACTTTTGTAACATTTATTTTGTGTTCTACAACTCATATGTATTTTATAGAACAAAAATTATTTTGATTAAAAATTTAATAGTCATTTACGGATAACTATTTTCTAAGTATTTAAGTATGTACTTAAAATTTTACTATTCTAGAGTGTATGAACAATCGACAAACGATACCGATTTGATAGATCGAAAATTACTGCAAAGTCGAATATCGTAAGATCGATGATTTCGACTAATCGATCGTGCCCTAGGAGAGAATAAAGAGTAACGTGCAGTGGTTCGCAAAGGTGTCTTGCATTTTTGTGCAAAAAGAAATTAAAATAATATAAAACTAGAGATGAATTGTTCTGCATAATTTCGATAAAAAGACCAAGAACAGGAACCTCGGCTTCCTTTCCTTTGTAGTGCAATGTCAAGAATACGGTGATAAATCCACCCAAATCGGCGGAAAACTACGTCACCAGTGACGGATTCCCCCGAAACTGGGACAAAGTGCAGTGTACTCTAGCATTGCGCTTTACCGGAATTTCTCTCACTCCATGTCCTAGTAGTTTCCCCTCTTTTCCTCTCCGTCTTTTTCTATCATTCTGTCTTTCTCTTTCTCTTAAAATTAGCCAATCGTCTTGTCATCCTCGAACCCTCGATCGAAATTGACAGGTAAACATGGATATTTTTGAGAAAGTTTAAGAATTTATGTTACCTTTTCTTCTTAAAGCAATTTTCTGTTGTACTAGTTATTTATTATTTTATTAGTTGCTAATAACATTATTTAATTAACGTAAATTGTGTATTGTATTGCTATAAACATTTTCAGTATTACACATATAGAAACGTAAGTTTATAAATGTAAAGTATTAATATTATAAGAACAGGAAATATAAGTAAGGAGAAACTTGTGTTAAAGGATATTTTTGCAATACTATAGATAATTAACAACGAATGGTGCAAGGTCAACAGCATAGTCTGAGGAGGGCCCGATATCATGTCAGATGGGGTTGACGGTGGAGGTGGGGAAAATGAGGTAGATTCCCATTCCTGTTTACATGCTGATGTTGGAGAATCCTCAACCCCAAGAGAAGAAGAAACTTTAGATCCAGACAATGAGGCTGCCTTAAACACTAATTATGATAGTGGCGATGGTGCTGTTCCTGCTTTTAGGTCCGTCACTTCCACGTAGTTATTTTTTTATATTTAGAAAAATTTAATAAACGTTGAGATAATCAAAGTCTTAAATAGCGTATCAAAGGATCCATAACGTGTGGACAGGTGTGAAAGGTGTGAAAACTATGAAACTATAAATAAGACAGCATTCTGCGCTCATCAGGACCAATGTTTGGGCAATGCTGAACCAGGAGAGAGTGCAGAGAACATTGAAGCTGTTGAAAATGATGGAGATGGAGAGGAAACTCATTCTGGAATTCGTTCTCACAGAAAAATGTTTGAATGTGATGTTTGCAATATGAAATTTTCTAATGGAGCTAACATGAGGCGTCACAAGGTATAAATTAAATTTATTTATATTTTCCATTTGAGCAGTTATAAATTAAAAATGTTTTATAGATATAAAGTATAAACTTGGAACTGAGAATATTTTTGATTACAGATGAGGCATACTGGAGTGAAGCCATACGAATGTCGGGTGTGTCAGAAGAGATTTTTTCGTAAGGACCATTTGGCAGAACATTTTACAACTCATTCCAAAACATTGCCTTATCATTGTCCAATTTGCAATCGTGGTTTCCAAAGACAAATTGCAATGAGAGCTCATTTCCAAAATGAACATGTTGGCCAACATGATATGGTAAAATCTTGTCCTTTGTGCAATTATCGTGCAGCAACTATGAAATGTCTGAGGTTACATTTTTTTAACAGGTTAATATTTGCTTTAATATTATACATATTGTATCATAAACGTTCTAAATTATATATTTATTTAATATGACAATTATTTTAGGCATGGAATAGATTTGGACAATCCAGGACCAAACAGTTCAAGTTCATTAATGACTAGCTGTGCCCCAGGAGAAGCTATGCCTTCTGCTCCCCTTTCAGATAGTGGAGATAGTACTGGAAATCGATCTGCAGACAATGCAACTCCACCAATGCACTTTCTAACACCTCACATAGAGATATCTATTCCTTATCCTGAACAAGCTGCAAGTCAACGGAATCCGAGTCCTGCTCCCCTTAATGGAGATAGTCCAAATAGTCCTCAAAGTGCAGACAGTAACAGTAATGCTCCAAGTAGTAGTCATCATCAGTTACCTATTAACAGTAGTGGTATTCACAGGTAGAGAACGTATTCCTTAAATAAATTCTGTGGTAACGCGCACGAGCGGTTTTCAGATTGCATTTGTTTGTGTTTACTTCGCCGTCGTAGTAAGATTGTATACGCGTGTTCACAGTTATTTAAATTAACATATTGTATTCAGAGTGTTGGAAGAGTTTTAACCACTCGTGCGCATTAATCTGTAGTTTGCTTTGAATTGAAATTTAATCATTTTTCTAACTAAAGGAACCTCGGTGGAAATGAAGAAGCAATCACACCTTCAATCTCACTGATTCCTATTAAGCAAGAACCAAATAGCAATGGAACAGAGGAAAATGGAGCAACATCTAGTAATCTTCCGTTACCATCTTTGATAAAAGTCTCACCACTGAAATCTCTTCTACGAGATGACTTACGACGTAAGCTTTCATCTGGCTCTGGAAATAACAATAACAATAACAATAACAATGGTAAATTCCTTTATTTTCTGGTGCAAATAATTGCTTTTATAAGACATCTTGGTGACACACTGCTACCATTAATCAATTTTGCTATCATTTGATCAGTGGGCACGCGCGATAAAACCGAGGCTAAAAATTATATTTATACTCATTCTTGTCTGCGTTTACCAACAAAGGGAATCATTCAAGTATGTATAGTGGGTTAAACTTAAAATGATTTACTTACAAGGTAAAATATTTTAGAGATATTATATTGAATTTGAAAATAGTCCTAAGAATTGAGAATGATAAACACATTTACTGCAATATCTTGCAAATTATTCGATCTATAAAAAGATTCTTGAGAAAAATTGCTTGTTCTTTAGCAATAAATAAAATGATTATGTAAGCGAGTTTTTAATATGACATATTATTTTAGAAATGTAGCAATAATTAATAATTATTTATATTTTTATTCTACAAATTACCACTTAATTAAATTATATGCGGTGTTTTGAATTCGTTCTTGAGTACAAAACTTGTGGCGACAAATAGAAATGACTCGTATTGCTGATGCTCGCTGAAAAGTATGGAGGGTCCGTCTGACCTAAAATACTGAAAAGACCCAAAAAAAAAAATTAACAGCAAACCGTGTATAAGTTTTACCACGTTGACTTTATATTTTACATTTGTAAACATATGGTAGCTGTAAAGAGATCTAATTTTGCAACCGACACCATCTTATTAACTGCAGCCTCCGTTCACAGAAAGATCACTTCGAAAACGAGTATTGAAATGTGTGTTATATATTCTTATAGGTTCTGAAGTGTAGCTGTAGGGGAAGATAGAAAGAAATTCTGTACACCTTCTTCGAGTACAACATCCAATTAACGTATTTTTAGGTAATATAAAAGTGTGCTAGGTCACAATATTGACCATAGTCGACAATTTGGTGTCAACTGCAGAATCAAATCTTTGTGAAGTTTTATTAACTTGCGTAAAGGAATACAAATTTCATGTATAACAAAACCAGGTCTTTTCAGGGCTACTGTACATGGAATATTTAAAGTCAAAAGTGGTAAAAGTTACACACGATATTCTTGTAGATAATTGTATTTTGGGCACTGTTTATAACTTCGAGATACATGGACGTTCTATACTCGCTTGCAACCAGAATCAACAATCAGTCGTTTTCTATTCGAGGTGCAATTTTTGCACTCAAGAACCATTTAAAAACATAAGTTTTATGGAAATAGTCTATTTTTTCTTAAGATTTCAGTCCCACGTATGTAATGGCTTTGCCATAGCAACAATTTTTTATTGAATCGTTAAAACTGAAACAGGTCTGCAATATATATTCAATTTACGCAACACGGAATAACAATTTGTAATGGAAACGTGTATGTAATAAATGATGAATTTTTACTATATTTTTGAAACAAAATGGCCATTTAGAAAAGTCGCTTCCGTAGTTATATTTAGGATTCGAAAACAGATAACTTTTGTTTAACCACCCTCAATTTTGAAGATATATTTTTTAAACGAATACCTCACATGAATTCATCACAATCTGTATGATTTACTTGAGTAATTATATCATTTTGGTTCACTGTTATACATACATACTAAAAAATATGTTATTAAACGCAGAATGAAACAACTTTCATTTTATATAAATGATTTGGAAAAAGTATATATATTAATTTTGTGATAGGTAATAATAGTTCGAATTCAAACACCCATTCAAGAGGAGAACCTCCTAGTTCAACGAGGCCCGATCAACGAATCAATGGACTTCAGTGCGCTCACTGTAAAATTACCTTTCCTGATCAAACGTTATATTTCCTTCATAAGGGTTGCCACAGTGAAAGCAATCCTTGGAAGTGTAATATTTGTGGGGAACAGTGTTGTAATTTATACCAATTTAATTCGCATTTATTAAGCAAAAGTCATCAGTAGCTACTGAAAAAAGTAACATTCTCTCTAAGGAACCTAGGACCTCGATTATTTAAACATTTTTTAAGCAGCATAGAGAAAGTTGTTAATACAATTGATAGAAGGAAAGTTACGAACAAAAAGAGTACATTATTAAGATAATGTAAATGAATCACATTTTTGTTTAATTGAACTGTATTTTCTTCTACTTTAGTATTAATAATAATAAATAAGGTCCAATTTAAAGTAAGAAAGAAATAGTCGAGGTTCCAGAAATTATTGTGAAATCTGGGAAATGTCGTGCCTTTATCGAGATACCTTTGCCAACACACTCGTCCGAATAATCGTGCTACTTTATGATAGTACGAACGATCCGTCCATGGGGCTTTACCAAAACATATTCCAGAAGCTCTATCGGTAGTTTTAAATCTAGTTATGTATATTTAGATAGAAGAAAATATTGAGGAGACCAAGAACCCCTTTTTTTCTATCTAAATTCTTTTTACGCACTGTCGTTTTGTTTGTTTCTTATAGTCTTGTTTGTTAACCTATATAAATTTCACATATTGTCATGTGTTTCGTCTATTGCTACTGTATCAAGGACAATCTTGTTTATTAAAAAGTGTACAGTGTCATTTTTATAATGTCAGATTATGATCATAATGAATCATGTAAATTTGATTATTCATATGTAGAAGTAAAATATGAACAATCAAAGAAAATTTATTTACAAATTAAATTACACTCACGAATTCACTGTTGCGGTGCGAAAAAGGAACCGAGCCGTGTGTATTGTTGCATATAAGTAGAAGTATACAAATATGAAAGAGGCGGTAGCTGAAAGATTGTGTCAGCTCAAGAAATATTTTATATAGATATATTTGTACAGAAAAGTATTAAAATATGAAGAAGTACGAAAATATGTAAGTCACGATGTCATATTTTAAAGGTGCATCATTGGAACAAATAACAGTTAACAATCTTTTTTTTATATTTACAAATTAAAAATCACTGAAACAAATTATTCGTACAAAATCAAAACCAAATTCATATGTAATTGGACGTTATTTACAAATAAAGTGGAATTGATCTTACCAGGAACATCACGCAAGTGTAAAACGCCGATCTTGATCAGATTTATCACAAAGGCGATGCATTGAAAAATACAAAAATATGTTTTTTAACTGCTAATATTCGTTTCTAGGGTGTGCAAATAGTACTCAAAATTGGGGATATGAAAAATACAGTTTCTTTAACATCTCGCGAACTATTCAACGTAGAAAAAATATTTGTTAACAAAAATTATTTATTGTGTAACAATAAAAATCTAAAAATGCCGATATGTTTAAAAAATATATTGAAAATTTTTTATTAATTGTTGTTCCTGTTTGACGTAATTTGTTTAATAGAAACTATAAACCAATATAAGAAATACTATTACCCTGAAATTTTTAGTCTGAAGTTTATAATAAAACTTGGGATTGTTACAGCCAAGTTGTTAAATGCGTAGGTCTAGTACTAATAACAGTTATAACATTAAGCCAGTCAGCCAAATTTTGTCCAGTATCTGTTATAAAGTTTCGCTATAAACACCTTGCGCGCAAATTGACAGCAACATATGCAATAAATTGGCTTACGCAAACCTTGTTCCGGTTTTGTTCTCAATTTGACATAGGTCACTTTGCAAGACTTTCTACCAATGTGCTTTACCATTTCGTCAGCTGGCGTTGCCTGCAAAACCCAAGTCAAATGCGGAAACAGATGACTATGGTTTTTTCGACAACTTTTGTCATTTATTGCTGACAATTTGCTGGAAACTTATATACAACTGGTTATCAGGGAGGTTCCGACCTTTTAATTAGTTCCCGCGTACAAAAATTTCCACCACAGGTAAAAAGACCCACAAAACGGCCAATCCCCGTTGAAATGCTATTATGTCCACGTAACCCAGAATCATACAGAGGCCCTAAAATACAATTACAAGAAAATCGAGTTTAATTTTTAATCTGTTAATCTTAAGTGTCCCACGCCTATACACATATGGCAGCCCTGACAAGAACTTATTCTTTAGCCGAGATGAAGTTATTGATTGTGATATTAACAATTTTGATCTGATATTTTCATATAGCACATAGAAGAGCGTGAATTGGTTATTGTACTCAAAAAAGGTTTACAAATGTTATTCCTTTAATCCACCCACATCTACAGTGGGTAACAAAAGTATTCGCACACCCTTTAAAGCAGAACAACTCTTTCAAAATTGGACCAAGTAACTTAAGTTTCTTTGTAAATTTAGAAGGATTAATGTACTAAATGATGTATTAACAAAATGTTGAAAAAGTTGCAATTGGTCGGAATCGCGAGGAAAAAAGTAAAGGTCATCTTTTGCGAGATTTTTATCTGAAATTGTAATGATAATTTAACAAATACATTGTTTAGATTTATGCTAGTTATATTTCATCGAAATCGGTTAACGTTGTTATAAGATACAAACGGTTAAAAATGTTGAAAATTACAGTATTTCGCGACTTTTGACCTATAACTGTAATATATCTAAAGATTCTTACATCTTTCGATGCCTGTTACTCGTTTCTGTATTAACCGATTCCAATAAAAGTTGCAGCATGTATATACCTGATATAAATCTTCGAAATGTATTTATTAAATTTTCATTACAGTCTCAAACAAAAAAGTTATAAAAGACGACAATTAGGTTAAAATTTGTACTCTATTATCTTGTAATTGTATTTTGGACCTTTATGATTCTGGGTTACGTAAGTATAAAAACCTTATACCCACTTACGCGGATCAACCACATTGCGGGTCTTTCTACTTATGGTGGAAATTTTTACCTACTAGAACCCAATATTATTAGCTGAATAATTGTGAAACTTTGCAGGCTGATGTACAGGGTGATCCACGCAATTTGTTCGCCCTGAATAACTTCTAAAGTATGCATTATATGAAAACATTTTTTATAGAAAAGTTGTATGGTTTGGAGGGATAGATTATGTACTGCATACATTCTTTTTGCAACTGGAGGCGTTTCGAAGATTTTAAAGTGAACTGCGCTTTTTTAAACGGAATGCTATATTTTTTATGCCAAAATATCAAAGAGCATTAAATCTTGAGTAAAAAATTACTGACCTTTGTTAGCCGTAATCCTAATAATTAACGAATAATTTCACTTTGTTTCTTGAAAATGGTCTGTATGTAATATCAAATTGGACATTCAATACCAGCAAAGATTTCCGTAAGACAGCGAACTTCACGTGACAATGTTTATCAACATGACCGATTCTGCGTATGGAATCGTAATCGCCCATTCTGTCCGTGATTCACTATTGAAGTTATCGTCAGTATTGATCAGTCTTGAGAAGTTATCATCGATCAACTTGATATTACGCACAGACCATTTTCCAGAAACAAGGTGAAATTATTAGTTAATTATTAGGATTACGGCTAGTAAAGGTCAGTACTTTTTTACTCAAAATTTAACGCTCTTCGATATTTTAGCACAAAAAATATAGCATTCCACTTAAAAAAATGAAGTTGACCTTCAAATCTCCGAAACGCCCCGAATTACAAAAAAAATATATGCATTACATAAAGTATACCTCCGAAGCATATAACTTTTCTATGAAGTTTTTTCATAAATGCATACTTTAGAAGTTATTCAGGGTGAACAAGTTGCGTGGACCACCCTGTATATCAAATTCGTACGATTTCAGTATCGCGGATTTAGCAGTTTTATTGTAACAATCCCAAGTTTCATTATAATGTTCAAGCTAAAAATTTCAAGGTACACAATAGTTTCCTATATTGGCTTACAGTTTCTATTCAATAATTTACACCAAAACGGAATAACGCTTAGTAAGACATTTTTTATTTTTTCTTAAACAAATTGGTATCTAAAAAGACTGTTTTTTTTTTCTAAGTAGAATAATTTGTGAGTCATTGAGGAAAATTTGTTTATTCTCAACTTTGAAGGCTATTTACTCCAGCTAAATATGAATATCAGCAGATAAATAAATGCGTGTTAAATATTTTTTAACATACTGCTTCTGTGCCAAATTTCATAAAAATCAGCGTGTTACACTTGAGTGATGTCCCTTGTTAGCTTTGGTATAAATTCTTGAAAAGAAGTTAGGAAAACTTGAATTGAAAAATTTCGAATATAATTGCCAGACTCTAGTATATTTTTTTTCGCGTATATTTATGTATATGTATACAAGATATAAAGCTAAATGTATTATGGTCAAATATCCTTGGAAACAACTAAATGAGATCTGAAATTTTGATTTATACCTTAAATTTGTCGGTAGTCATATGGCGTATTAATTTACCAAATTACTTTTTTTTTAACGAAATCGTTAACATGATGTAATATAAATATTAACGATAATTAACATTATGAATGTAAAACCGATATGGAAATGAAAAATATTGCTTGTTACAACATTTCAGAAAGGATAATGTAGAAAATAGAACCATAACAGCCTTCTACCGCGTCGTACAATAAACTGCGAAAAACATGTGATATCAAATATTTAATCTTTTTTTAAGTGTTGCGTCAAATGTTATGAATTTTGAAATAATCTGTTACTCACTATTGTTCGACTATCATGTTTCAGATAGCACATGATGTCTAATGACGCCTTTAAGACGGTTTGAAGACGCCTTAGGCCTAAAATAGCCGTAAAATAGGCGTCTTCAAGGCGTCATGTGCTATCTGGGGTCAATATCATTTAAAATATTTGTATTTACTGTACGTCATAAACCTGCAACTATAATAGCACTGGATGTACAAACAATGTTATTTTAAAAAATCAAGATGTTACATGACCTGCATATTGACTGTAACGATTTCTCTTAAAAACTAATTCTGAAAATTCATTATGCATCTAGATATCAAAAATCACCAAAAAATAAATCTTTCATGTAATAGTCAATTTTAGAAACGTCTGATTGTAGCATATTTAGTTTTACATCATGTTAGGGTACCCAATTTAAGTATATAAACCGCGTATGAATTATAAAATATACTTTTAAATCTAA